AAGCTTGCAAGACTCATCTTTCTTTATAAGATAATCCGAAGAAATCAGAAGTCATTCCCTTGAATAAATCCAATGGTCCATGAATATTATGAGTCCTATCAATGGTCAATAGGTTTTTTATGTTATATTTAGGATGACGTCATCGAACAAGGAAAGACAATGTTGTCAATGGCTTTTTTTTTCTTATAATTTACAAGAATGTCATGTGTCAATAATTCTGACGACAGCTAGAAATAACGAAATGGAAATGTTTATACAAGTCATGCAACGTCGCGCGCCGTTGCCAACCAAAAACATTTGAAATTCCCCTACTTTAGATGCGTTAAAAAGTACTTTCAGTTTTGTTAGGTTGGTTAGGTTGGCAGCAGAAATTCACTAAATGTGACGACGTCATCCTAAATATAGCGTAAGAATCCTATAATATCTAATAAATTTGGATGCATTTAGTAAATAGCCAGAAATTTTGATGAGTAAAATAACAACACTTCAGACTATTACAAGACATAGGGAAACTTTTGCCGGAAGGGGAATACCAGAAGTTTCAGTTTCTGATAATGGCTTCCAGTTGAAATCAGATGGATTTGAAACCTTCCCAATGAAGTGATGAGGCACAAGCAATAAGTATTCTATCATATATCGTGTAATTACAATCAAAACATGTCAATTTATTGTTGGAATACCAGTTTTGACAGATGTATGAAATTCTCACGATAATTGCATATAGTAACTGGTGTTTTGACATTTTTTGAAAAAAAAAAAAAAATCTATTTTTGATTCATGAAATATACAGGGTGTTCCGAAACTATTGTGCCAAAAATTAAGGGATGATAGATGTCGCCAAAATAAACGTTTTTCACTTATAAACCCATAGGCGCATGCGCTCTGGTTTGGTGACACACACACATTACAGTTCGCACTGTGGTAGCCACCTTGCACATGAAGAAACGTGTTTGAATCGGATACTGTGTTATCAAATAATACAAAACCCCAAGAATGCTTGCAGCATTTATTAAAAACAATGATCCACATCAAAAGATGCTCAAAATTACGACCACCCGCCCTAATGCATGCGTGACAGCGCCGACCGTAGCAGAAATATCGAGTAGATTTCTGCAGGAAACCCTTCCCGAACTGTTACAAACTGTTCCCCTGTATGCCAGACAAAACAAGTGGTACTAACACGACGGAGCTCTACCGTATTACTTGTTAGCCATAAGGGAACATCTCAGCGAAACATAATCTGGAGGAAATAGTGATTGGTAAGGGCGCACCTATTGCATGGCCACCAGGTTTACCAAACCTGACCGAATGCTTCTTTTTTATTGGGTCACATGAAAACTGCAGCTGCTGAAATTCGCGAAGCGCCCGGAATTTTTTAACGTGTTCAGGAGTTTCCTGCAGAAATCTACTCGATATTTCTACTACGGCGCTGTCACGCATGCATTTAGGCGGCAGTCGTAATTTTGAGCAGCTTTTGATGTGAATCATTAATTCGTTTATAAAAAGTCGATTCGAGTATTTTATTTTATAAAAATAATCTAATAGGTAAAATTGCTCTAATCAGAGAGCAAGTAGTAATTCGTATCAAGATGAAGAAAGCTTCTGGTATTAATTTCAATTGAGGTGTAAGTCCCAAAAAATGCAAGGTAATATGTGAATCATTGTTTTTAATAAATAAAGTCTGTTTTCTTTTTTAAAGATAAAAGTCAAAATGACATTATGTTGGCAATACAATGTAAAATTGTCAATGCTTTCAAATTTTTTATGTAGAAAAGGCGTTGCCAACATAGTTACTAAATTTTTGACTTGGGGAATTATCTTTAAATAAAAAACAAACTTTAGTGCAAGCATTCTTTGGGTTTTGTATTATTTAATAACACAGTTACTAATTCAAACACGTTTCTCCATGTGCAAGGTGGCTACCACAGCGCTAACTGCAATGTGTGTGTGTCACCTAACCAAAGCGCATGCGCCTATGGGTTTATAAGTAAAAAACGTTTATATTGGCGATATCTATCATCCCTTAATTTTTGGCACAATAGTTTCGGAACACCCTTTATATGTATATGGACTCTTGAAATTATAGAAAACACGCATTCGATAAAAATGATAGACACTTGATAAATAAAATAATTGCTCCATACCAAATTCATATTTTTCCTAAATTATTAAATATTCGATAAAAATAACATAGTATAGACTTAATAATAGTTATTCTTTATACAAGACGATAAAATGGTAGTTTATCGTTGACCGGAAAAGTTAATTCACGAGCGGAATCGCAAGTGAATTAATTCCGGGAGACGATAATGGCATTTTATCGTCGTGTTTAAAACAAAGTTTTTTTTCCATAGCCTAATTATGGACGCCTGTAGTATCAAAAATATTTAGAAATTATTTGAGTCAACACTTTTGCATAAGTAGAAATTCGTTTGACAAACTTTGACAAATGAATAAAAAACAAAATATGTATAGATTTTTGACAAAATTATCTATCCTTGCTGTTAAAGTATCATTTAATCTACTCTTGCGGTTAAAGTACTACTTTATCTACTGTTTTTAGTAGATTAATAGTTATTTATTATACAAGACGGTAAAAAGATACTTTACCTGTGAGTGGAAAATGTTGATTCACGAGCGACGAAGGAGCGAGTGGATTAATTCCACAAACAGGTAAAGTTTTTTTACCGTCGTGTGTAATATTCTATTTTATTCTTGAGCCACTTTTTATTTATCACAATAATTACTAAAATCATAAACTAAAATGTGCTAAAATTTTACATAGATTATGACAAATTGACAAAGTACCTAACAAACTGACACATTTCTGGTCTTGTCAATCATGCAACATATCAGATTTCTGTCAAAAACACTATAATTATGAGCAAGTTTTTAAATTCATTAATTGCTTCAGCGCATTTCTCCTGATGGGCAACCTATCCTTGTTTTGCTGCTGTCAAATGACAAGGACAGCAATACATCGGTGAAAATGCGCATGTGACATTGATGATTTTGAAAACTTGCCCAATTATAAAAGATTTGAACAAGTGGGTAAAATTGACTTATGAGTGGGTGAAATTGACGTATAAGTGAGTAAAATTGACAAATGAGTGGGTAGAAATTGTTCAGTTTCACTACTTCAAATAAAGGGTTTGAGTCGATTAAATGATAGTTTACCATTCGCGATAGAATAAAGGCTACTTTACCATAGTAGCTATGGAAAAAATAAATATAATGAATGCTCGGAGCCAAATACAAAATATGTTTCCTATATCAATAAATATTTGTGAAAAAATAATACAGGTTTGATTAATTTGAGGAATGCTCAGTAGAAAGATGTAAATTCGTTGTGGCAAAACCAATACAATTGCTTGGGTAAGTTTGGGTTAGTTTTGGTAAGTTGGCGTTAGTTTGGGTTAATATGTGCGGATAATTACAGTATTGCCACGTTTTGTGAATAGTTATATCTGCGGTTATATCAGTTACAGACAAGAGCGATATAAGTCACTTTATATTATTACAAGTGTAAATTTGATTTAATAGTAAATACGACTTATCGGGGATTTATATATTTTTTTCAAAATGCAAAATTTCATTTAATAGTGAACGTGAATAATCGAGCATTTTTTATACAGTATGGGCAAAAAGAATGGAACGCCTATACGGGGGTTTCAAAACTATTTGTTTTTTGGAAAATCGCTCGGACCCGTTACTTTTATTTTCAAGCAGGGTATTTTTTGAAAAATAAAGAGTATACAGAGTGTCCCAAAAATGATGTTACCTACATCAACTTTGTTATTTCAAATGACAACCCTGTATATTATTGCATTTTCGGATTCTACGAAAAATTATGGAAGTATTTTATGCATAATGTCCTATACTTATCTTCAACTGTTTCGGAAATATTGACAGTTAAAAATTGACTTTTTTGCAACTTTGACAGGCTGTAAAACCTAAATCGTTAATTTTAGACCAAAACCGATCATACATTCTTGTCTTAGTTTTCCATAAACTATCATTTGACACCAAATTTGAATTTAATAGGAGATTAGTTTAACCGGAATTTTTAATCATGGATTAAATTCAAAGTTGGTGTTAAATGATGAGTTTATGGAAAACTAAGATAAGATTGTATGATTGCGTTTGCTCTAAAATTAACCGTTTAGGTTTCACAGTCTGTCAAAGTTTCAGAAAAGTCAATTTTCAACTGCCAATATTTCTGTAACAGTTGAAGATAGGTATAGGATTTTATACATAAAATATGTCCAGTATTTTTCGTAGAATCCAAAAATGCAATAATATACAGGGTTGCCGGTTAAAATAACAAAATTGATGCAAGTAACACCATTTTTTGGATATTCTGTATAGATTTTTTTTCTCCAAAAATGCGCAACTTAAAAATAAAATTGACGGGTCCGAGCAATTTTTCAAAAAAAAAAAGATAGTTTTGATATCTCTGTAGGTGTTCCTTTCTTTTCGCCCACGCTGTACATACATATAGTGTAGTACACATTTCATTAAAACCGATCGAAATTTACCCTGCAAATTGTAAATTTAGTATTTTTTTAATCTGCAAATTGCATTATATTATCGGTCCTTAAGTACGAACCTTAAAATTTGAATTGATTGAGCCGATACCTACTTGGTGCAAATTGAAATTCATGGTCATGAGGAGAAGTTTTTCTACTATATTTTCACTAAATTAAGTAAAAATATGATTAATTATTAATAATAATTAATTTTACTTTTTCCGAAGCTATTATTGAGAAAACAGTTTTCAAGAAGTTATCAAGTTGAGGACCCAATAATAAAATTATAGATACACTTGTGTAAATAGAGAATCTGGATTTAAAAAAGGCTTGGGAAAATCCTCAATAACGAATTAATGCTCTTGTGAGGTACACAAAAACCAGACTATTCACTAAAATCTAAAATGTTTTTAAAATTGAAGAACTTTTTGATAAAAAAAAAAATCTAAAAACTATATATTTTAAACCAACCTTATTTAATAGTACGTAATTAAGTCATAGTTCAACTAACACACCATTTTCGAAAGTAAATTACACCAGTCCAAATCTCTCAAACTTTACGCGAAAATTGAAATTGCGCTCACAAACTTCCACAGGAGTTGCAACTACAGTGCGAATAGTCCGATATTCGAATCCAGACTGCGCGAATATTGGCCGCAGCCAGCAGAATTCCAATTTCAGTAGTTTCAGGTTAGGGGGAATAACAGTCAGCACGATCCATGTCCTGTGCGAGTTATGCGCCCCACAACGCTAGCTTATCTTGCTGGTTATGGATGGGTTAATAGCGATTAGCGTGATCCTATATGTTTTACGTCCGAATAAATTAGCAGGGTAGGTAATTTGTGTTTGTTTTGCCAAGCAGGACTTGAAATCTAATTAGAATTTTAGAAGATAGATAGCGGCCACACGGTTGGTCTAATAATGCAAAATCACACCTATCGCTATATGGTTCACGCATTTATACAAAACTAAAACCGAAGCACGTCACAAAACAGTAAACTGGCTCTGTTATCAAGTTATCATGAAAATGTGAAGTTTTTCTTTGAAACTAAAGTAGAAGTATGAACATTTTTATAATTTTCTCAAGTTGGGGAAACTTTACAAAAATTCGCGAATGGAATTTCACGTCGGAATAGTAAAAATGGGTCGGTCACCAAGAGGTAGTCAGTGATAAATTACATGCTAGTGTGTCAAGAATTATAAAGTGCTAAATATTTGAAGACGAATAATAGGTTATTAATCGGATAATAAGTGGATTTCAAGTCGATAATAAGTCAGTGGATCGTGATTTAGTTTTGTGCCTATAGGTATGCTTGATTGTACCTAGTTCAATTAATTGTTACTATAGTGGTCTTTTCGTCGTGATTTTTGTGATATTATCTCGAGTAATAGTTATTAATTAGGTAAATGGATTTTGTTACATGTAACTCATGCAGGAAAACTAGCTAAACTTTTCTTGTTTGACTAATATGTAAAATAATTCACGTGCCTTATTTATACAACCTTTTATTCAACGATTACGTATAATCGCGTTTTTATAATTGTGAGACCCCAAATTCAGAAACTTGGCAAGATGTTAAATTGGCGAGCGGTGACTTTAGTTTCTGAGTGGAGACACAGATTAATGTGGGTCCTATTTGCGAGTGGAAAGTAAAACACAGAAATATTGTGGTCAATTAAAATAAAGTTTATTTTATTGAAATAAATAAAGCTTGTTATTACATATAAGGCGTCGGTCATGAATAATCTAACAATAAAATTATTCAATCTCTAATCTAATCTAATTAAATGTTAAGGAAAAATTTATATGATTATAAATATTTTCCTTATTTTCCCCTACTGAAATGTTTTTCTTATAGATAAGCGTAAAAGTTCCCTTGTATGCAACAAATTACTAAAATTTTAATTTACAGTTTGACTCGACTCACGCTCTTGCCTTCACAATTTCTGGCTGAACATAAAAAACTCTACTTACATTTAACAATGATATATTTACTGCTGGCCACACCTAATTACATGGAATACTTATTGGTCGAAGGAATTTACTTTACTTATGAACATTTAATAAAACTCGAATATTTTCGCGCTGTTATTTCACGTCGTACTTCTTCTCTCGGTTAATTCGACAACTCTTTCACGTCGTAGTTCTGACTTTCTGGTCACAGGTCTCTCGATTACTACTTGTTTCTTGATTACTCAACCGAACACTGGTTTACAGACGTAGCTCTACCCGTTTACTCTCTCTTTCTCGAACACTGCTTTTCTCCTGCCAAAGTTGCCTTTTTATATCATTGGTCCCCCCATTGTCTTGAATGTTTTTTTTTTTCTGACCTCGATTTTACATGGTTGAATCATAGGGTCAATAAGTGTATTTGGTCCCCTTTTAATCAATTATTAAGGGCGTCGCTAAGTGGTTTGTTAAGTGGGTATCATCATATAGGCTCGTGCGTGATTTATTGATCCTTTTAGAAATTTTTCGGCACCTTTGGAATGTTAATTGTTGAAAGCACTTAAAAAAAAAGGTCCATGAACTTTTGCTCTATTCATATTCCAATGTATTAGTCAATTATCGGGTATATAGGGTAACGGCTTTCAATAATTTCTGGATATCGATGTTCAGATAAATTTTAATTGAAGTTTCTGGTTGTGCTGTCTAAGTGATGATCTCTCCTGGGATGGTTATTTGGTAAGTTCTTGTTATTCTTAATTAAAATTTCTGTAGTCACTACATAATGAATAATAAAAATGATTCAAATGTGAAGTTGAAAACTTTAATATTATCATGTTCGATTTGTATTGTCTACATTTGTTCTGCAACAATACAATCTGGCTACACTGCAGCTACGAGTTGCGCGCACATGTAATTTTTTTTTACTTTTTTTTTTGTATTTATTACAATTAAGCTCTCTCTTTCTATTTATGCGAGACACGTCAATTGTTTACAATAGAAGTAAAACTTTTCCCATCAATATTTCTTAATGTTTAAGACCTGAGCAAATATTGACCAGAGGCGCCGACTTTTGAGAATCCTCATGGGTGCAGGATAACGACTTTATAACATTGTTTATGAGGGGAGGGGGAAGCTCGCCTCAGGCGCCGCCACATGCGGAATTTTTTTTTCTAGGAGTGTGCGAAAAATTTTTTTTTCTGCACGCATTTTAGGCCATGAAAATATCACTTTTCGCACTAGTTCGGAAAAGTGAAATAATTATGCACTCAACGGTTCTTTCATGTCCTTAAAATAAGCGTGCGAAAAAAGTACTTTTCCTCATTCAATTGCCACGCACTACGCACGCGCTCTAAGTGACGTTTTGTTTTATTTTAGCCGCCTCTGTCAACTGTCAGACTGTCACTGTCAACCAATGCACTATACGCACGGCAAAGGACTTAAGCTTACTTTTCATGCATCCGTTTTTCCGTTAATCCGGAAGTATTCCTATTGGTCCAATAATTTGGCGCCAAAATATTGAACCAATAGGAATACTCCCGGATCAACGGACTGACGGAAAAACGGATGCATGAAAAGTAAGCTTTATTAAAAAAGATCCGCGATGTATCGAAAAGATTATATCAATATTTTTTCGATATATCGAATGTTAAATATCGATTAAAATATCAAGCGCCGGACCTTCCGTTGTGCGCGGTACTGTTTCGATTATTATCAAAAAATAGAAATGGAGAATAGCATATAAGGCAATTTTTCGCGAGGATAATCAAACATAATCTGAATATGCTCAGAGGTTATGTGTGAATTGTGCCATACTCCTCTAACTCCCTCCAGTTCCTCCCCAACCAATTCTGGGCCTGCGAGTGACGTGACTATCAGCATCTCATAGTGATGACGTCACCCGCAGACCTCGATGAAATGCTTGCTGTGCTAGTGAGTTAATTTTCTCATCGATTTTAAATGTAGAAAAGATGATTTTCAGTCTGTTCTCACAGGAGAAGGAAGTTGAGTGTTCTTGATCCTCGAGTATTCCAGAATTTGATAGTGGGGGAGTTAGGGGAGTATGACAAAATTTATACATAAAATCTGAGCATAATCGAGTATGCTTGGTTTTCCTCGCGAAAAATTGCATATAATGCCCATGTAATAGAGCATAGAACTAACCACATAACGAAAGGACAGAATACTAATACCACTTGTATGTGCTCCGAAATTTTGACAGGCACGTGACTGGATAAGACAGTTTCAATTTACAAATCACGTATCTGTCAAAATTTCGAACCAAATCGACGAAAAAGATGACAAAAACTAAAAACGAACTGGGCCATTGTATAATACCTATACAAAGTTGTGTTAAGGATAACGCACACCTAACATGGGATTTTTGGGCTCTATATGGATTTGGCCCATTTTTTGATATATTGTAGAGAATTTAATTCTGAACAACCTTTAAATGGGCCGAAATCTTGTAGGTGTTACGGTCTTTGAGATATAAGCGTTGAAAGATGAACATTTTTGAGACTTTTTGTGTGGAGAGTATACGAGATACTCGTGCTACTGGTGTTTATCAGTGAAAATATTGACAGGTTCACATATTTTACGCTTTTACGTCACTTACAAATTAATGTCAACATAGGTTAAGGCCGGGACCGCACTGGGGTCTATGTTGGCGCCAGTGCGGTCCTGGCCTTAGCCTATGTTGACATTTGTTAGTGACGTGAAATATGTCGACCTGTCAAAATTTTGACTTATAAACACCAGTTTTTCGTATACGCTCCATTAGGCAATTTAATCCATCTGTCAAAAAGGAAAATTCAATATGGCGTGGGGCCAAGCAAGCTTCTTTTGAATATGTTTTTATGTGTATTTTAAATTATTTTGCTTAGAGTTTTGCTTGTAACTTTGATTTTGATTATTTAATACGATATTTGTTGACTAGGTACCTAAGCTATTAAATCGGGCAGAAACTAGATATTTATTTGTGTTTTTTGGCCCATGTGTGGCCACGCCATCTTGAGTGTCACGTGGTTTGAATTGCCTAATACAAAAAGTCACAAAAATTTCATCTTTCAACGCTCATATCTCAAAGACCGTAATACCTACAAGATTTCGTCCCATTTAAAGGTTGTTAAGAATTAAATCCTCTACAATATATCAAAAAATGGGCAAAATCCATAGAGCCTAAAAATCCTATATTAGGCGTGCGTTATCCTTTAAATTACATGATACTGATGCTACCACACGGAACGGAATGACCAATAAACACGTTTGTACTTCCGCAATCCCTACGAGATCTTCCATGGGTGCTCCGCACCCATGAGAGGTTGCTCATGGGTGCACCTGCCCCAATGCCCCCATGCAGTCGGCGCCAGTGATATTGACTGATCTCCAACTAATTGTACTGAGTATTTTAAGTATTGGTATAAATATTTTGGAATAAATTTGAAGCTTTATAAAGTTACAGACAAAATTATTAGACCGAAAATCGCGTTTACTTATTCAATAAACCTCAAACGCTGTGTAACACGTACCTACTTTTATGAGTTTTGATCTCCGTTAGAAAGTTTTGACTAAGTTTGGTATCTTAAAACTTCCAACAACTCTCTCGTAAGAGGAAGGGCGTATAAGCAGAATCAACATCGAATATATTCTTTGCTTCCAATAACTCTGTAATAACAAAAGGGAAT